CCGCTTTAAGAAACGCTTACACAAGATCCTAAAATAAACAAATTATGAATTCTCGCGAAGCTTCTAGAAAGTCACACTAGTCACGCAATACAATTTTTGGTAACAGCGACCAGGAAGTTTTTCAACAAGCGTTTTCTTTATTTTTGTCGAAAACATTTGTTAAAATTGAAACAGTTCTCGTTTCTTCTACCGACAGACTCGTAGCTTTTCGAGCCCGAGTTAGCCTTTTTTAAAAAAGGTTTTAAGTTGTTGTAACGTTTATAATTTATAGTCTATGAAGTGTATCGCACATTTTTCAGTGAATGCACCCCTAGGGATTTGTGAGCAATTCATAGACAAGAAGAAAACAATGGTTACTCATGGTAACATTTTTTATCAGATACTGTTATACATAAGTATATTCAAAGCTGAATTTACACTAAACTGGGCCCGACAGAAAGAAAACAAAATAAACTTGCGGTGAACACAAAAGTCGGCCAGCTTTTTCTTTTAGGTCTTTTCTTGAGACATTATATTGTTGACTCTAACATCCGTAACCTGTAAATTGGCTACCGTAGAGTATCGTGCACAAAACAGATTTTTTCCCTTCATATTGTTTTCATATCAGTCGTTTTCAAATCATTTTCCCCTGCCGCGACATTGGACCCGCGACCGCGACTTTGGACCCGCGACCGCGACATTGGACCCGCGACCGCGACATTGGACCCGCGACCGCGACATTGGACCCGCGACCCGCGACCCGCGACTATTAGTCAAACTCTAATTAATGGCTAAATTTCTCGTTTGTATAAATATTTATGAAAATTTAGCCGTTAATTAATGGCTAAATTTTTGGTTAGTAAAGAGTAAAATTTAGCCGTTAATTAATGGCTAAATTTTTCTTTAATAATAATACAAAGTGACTTAACGGCTAAATTTTTCTTATAACTACACTGTGAATTTATTGCAAATTTTGCCATTGTCTAAACACCGGCCGAATACCAGGTAAATCTGCCTTGGGTTGGAAAATTTGGTTTGGCTTCTTATGGATATTCAGACAATCCTGAATCTGAAGATTGGTTTTGTACCGCACGCATATGCCATCCAGATAGTTTGCATGAGTTTTGCCTCAAACATGTTTTCCTTGTTGCTTTGCCGTTCGTTCGTGCTCGCTTTGCGCTCTAGCCTGTTCCAGGCGTTCAAATTAGTAGAGCGCGGCAGTCAGTGGGGAGTGAGTTAAATTGCCCTCGTCTTTTTTTTCTTCGTGAATTTTCCTCCCGCGCTCTATGATCTGAACGCATGGAACAGGCTATTTGCGCTCACGCAACAATCACGCACTACCCATTTTTTTTAGGGAAAAGCCCTGGGGACGAGGTTGTCACGCAATATTCGCCAAGGACAAAAATAAATTTGTACAAGTTGCAATACAAAAAAGAAATTACTTTTAAAGGTGCTTTGCATAGCAAACGACCAAAGAAGTTATGTCTGATTCGTCGCTTTATTGTACTTTTGCTGTCGTATTATCGCTAACGTCCACTTGAAATTTTGCTGCCCCAAAAGTCACTGCATTCTAGGACGAATACTGACTTGCACTCACGTGAAGATATCCGTCAACGGTATCAACACAATTTACTGCTTTTAAAACGTGGTAGAAACTTCTTTATATTTTTAAAATATAGAATATAGAATATTTTTAAACGGATAAACCAGTGAGCAGTACTTTCAAACTTCTTGAGTTGTAAAAACTGTTTTAGTGTCTCCTACGCGTTTCGTGTGACTAACGCACACTTCATCAGGGAGAAAATCTGTATACTGATATATCCAAGTGAGGAAGAATTCGAGGACTAGTTAGTTGGGTTTGCCACTTGTGCTCATGATTAAGAACACTGTTAAGATAGACTGTTATTCATTATAAAAGTTGGCGAATTAATACCTTAGTCCGTTTAGTTAGATTGACGTGAAAATGATTGCCTCGGATTTTGTCCGATGAGGCTGTGAACCGATTCTCAAAAAAGAACGCTGACGAAATCAACGAAATCAACTCTTAGTGTTTCTTTTTCAACGCCTTTAAAAATTCCCATTGATCCATTTTTCAATAGTTTCAGACTGTGCGGCTCGGCTGCATCGAGTCGCACAGTCTGAAATTTTTAAAGTCTTCAACCAAAGAACAACCTTGTAAAAGAATTAAATAGAAATGAAATAAGCATTTTCTTGAATAAAAGTACGTTTTTAGGCATTTCCCGGCCAACATCATTCATTAGACCGAAAGCTCCGGGTGTTTGTGACGGCAGTAATCAAAGTCGAGGTTATTACAGTGTAAATCCCGCCCATCTTTTGTTTTGAATTCTTGTTTTCTCTGATAATAAAAAAAAATCACGGAACGGACTTAAGCTTTATTTCCTTGGTTTCTTTCATAAGTATTGCTATAGATCCTTTTCTAAGTTATCGCCTTCTCCCAGATTAACTTATGCCAAACCAGTAGCATGCAAGAAAGGCAGTAAAAACAAATTCGTCTTGTCAA